TTATTCGATCAATAATCCAGATCGTTGAAACTCATTCCATCGAGTAACGTGGATGGAGAGTCTCAAAAAGTTATTCTCGAAAGTTCCGAAGAGGAATCAGATGAAGAAGAAAGCTCTGAAGAAAGTCCTACCCCGTACGTGGATGTTGTTAAAGATGTATGACGATTTCCTTACTTGTCTTCAAATATCTGTTCAGCACTGCAAAGCAAACACAAACAACTTCTGTCGCAGCTGCAAATCATAAAGGCCTTCCTTCAAAGATTTCATAGTGAGTTTATCATCTATATCAGTCCGTCATGCTATTTGAAAAGCAATTATTGTTCAGCGAGAAGCAAGAGTTTATCGCTAGGAGTTGTTGCAAGCAGTTTCTTCAGCAAATGGTGTTGCGAAAGAAGGGAGAATGTTTCAGGTGTAACTACTGTGATCATCTTACCACAGTTTTCTAATAAATTCAGACTGAAATCGTACTTTCAGAACAGCTGGAAGGAGTGCAGTCCAGGTTAAATCGTTATTATCGGAGCTGTATCAAGAACATCGTGATGCTTACGAGCTGATGTTGGCGGACATTTTGAAAATTCCAACTCCAGACCAACGCGAAATTCCTTATTCGGATGATTCGGAATGGGTAGCGTCTCGGATCCTTGCCATCAATCGAGCACAGAACAGGCTGCTTGTTCCAGGTGAGAAATGGTTCTAAAAGGCGTCTGTGAACACTTGCTCAAAATGCTCTTTTCACGTGGTCTTCCCTAGCAACTAGTTCACCTTTTAACGCTGCTTGAGACTGAGTCACTGACTTTCTATTCCACCCTTGTTTAGCTTTCCCTCCGTGGACGGTGATGCAGCGTATGTGGAAAATATACGGCCCTTTACAACAAGCCGCTTCTGTCATCGGAGGCTATTACGAAAAATTTGTGAATGAGTGTGTCAGCGTTGCCTATAATCAATACTACCGACTGTAAGTGTTTTTCTGTGCTCTTGTACAATCATGGTACATGCGCACAGTTCTCAGAAAGAACGGGATCAAAGTGGCTGACGAAATTCCTGGCGATTTGTTGGACCTTTGCTATGCAATAACTTGTGAAAGAATGCGCGAACA